CTGTCCAGCACCCCCCAGACTGTGCACCACATCCCGGTTCCGGTGCCTGGGGAAGATGGGGGTGTGGGGGAGGGTGGAGGTCCAGCTTTTTGGCCACTTTGCCTCTGCTGGTTGGCACCTGGCACATTTCATGTTCTTCATCCCCCAGAGAACTGTTGGAGGGGAGGGGATGGAAAAGGATGCAGATTTCCCCATAACGCGTTTGGGGGAAATGTCACCTCTTAGACACGTGGAGAAGAGTGCCCTGCTTTGCAAACACAAACCTGGTGAAAGTGTAAAAGTGACTTTTCCATGCACTTCTTCCCACGGGCACAGGCAAGCTGTGCCTTCAGCTGCTGCGGGTGACACGTTCTGTGCGCTCTGTGTTCCGTGTGTCCCTGTTCTTTCATCAGTGTTAACTCGGCTCCTGCCTCCGTGCCAGGGGAGCAGTTTCGTATCACTTGCCAGTCTGGCGAGGAGGGTGGTGGTCTGTCCACCTGTCAGGATTTTGGTGTCTCAGAGACATCAGGTTGCTTGCCTAAGTCACACAGCTAGTGAAGATCAGAGCAAGATGCACCCCGGTGTGATTCCAAGCCCAGTGCTCTCTCCCCACCAGCCTCAGGGCCTCCGAAAGTACTCTGTAAAAGGAGGGGGATGGGATTTTTTTGAGGCATACCTGGAAGTAAGGTCAAGCTAGTTCACTCTAAGATTAAACTTCTACTGGTAGGAATAGCGTTCTCCCCAGTGTGGGGGGGCCGTCATTCTAGTGGAGGCCAGTGATACTGACACTGTCCCCCTAGGACAGTTAGTTACGTCGGTGACTCTGAAGGTACTATGATTGGTGCAGAATATATACGTTAACGTGTCTGACACTGTGGTTGTAGGGCCAGGATTATAAATGAAATTTGCAAAATCACTTACCAGCAGCTGAAGACCATCATCAACCACACGGAGAAATTCAAACCAAGCAAGGCTCTACGAAATATGGTTGTAATATCCACACTGAGAGCACTGGACTGGATGCTATTCCGCAAATGGTATTTTCAGGTGCCATGGACTGTTTCCATCGTGTACTCATCCAGAGTTATTAAATTTTAAAATTGCACATGATTGTATAAGCATGCTTTGGGTTTTAAATTATGTATAAGCACCTATGTTGCATTTAAAAATCAAGCATAAATCACTTAAATGATTCCTTTATAGTTCTTGAATGTCTTCTTTTTTGGCTTTGAATACATAAAATGGAAATGACCTGCAATGCCCAAAAAACAAAACCAAAAAACTCTTCCACATAAGTGAGTTTTCCAGACAAGTGAAGCACATCTGTTTTAGCATCAAAATATTTTAGAAATGTTCACTATTGTTTGTAGGAATTAGTCTTAAGAGCGTCAGTACTTCACTGTCTTCTGAGAGAGTAAATGGAATGTATGACTCTTCTTACCATTCAAATGCGGTTCTGGCCCAGAACACAGATCTTCAGGGACTATTAATAATAAAGCGACTATATATTAAGGTCAGTGGGAGGCGGGGGGTGGGGGGGAGGCGCCAGATTAGGCAATCTACCTCTATTACCTCATTTAATCTTCATTGAATCCGGGTTTTTTTCACTTAACAGATTAAAAAAATGGAAGCTCAAAAATATTAAGTGATAGGGCCAAAAGTCTAACAAAAAATAGTATCTCGTATAGTACACCCGGGATATACTGATGATTTTAAGATCAGATATAGAGCGTTGTCTATTCAGTGTCAAAAGTCCCTAGGACCGCTCTATATCCTTATCACTCAACAGGTAATATTAATACTCAACAGGTACTTACTGAGAGCCTCCTCAGAACCAAGTACTGTGATCTGCTCTGGGGGTGCCCAGTTGATCCAGATAGGGCCCCTACCCCGGGGGCATCACAGCCCCATGAGAGATACACATTAAGCCCAGTACCCACCAAGCAAAGCAATCAACCCAGTGTCACGGTGATGGGAGCCCTAGAGAGGCACTCAGCTTGGGACAGCTGGCGTGAGATCTCATTGGCTCTCAAAGATCAGTTTATCAGGTGATCAGAAGGAACAGGAAAGGGCATTCTGAGACTGGACGGAGAGAGGTGAGAAAAAGGGGTGGCATATGGAGGACCCTCCAAGTAATTCACAGCGGCTGGAAGGCAAGATGAATTTGAACAAGTGTGTGGAAACGAGGCTGAAAATCGTTTTGTTCAGCAAAAGTTGTATTGAGTTCCTACTGTGTGTCAGGCCCCACCTGGGTTAGGCGCCAGGACTGTGGTACGTGAGATAAAACCAGGTCCCTCCCTCACAGGATTTATGTGCAGGTATACCGTGCTCCACTTTGTCCCAGAGCCACTTCCAGTGGGACACTGCATTCAACAGAACACAGTTGGCGCCATTACTGGAAAAAACCGAACCACTGCTTAGTTCTATCTCAACCCCTTAATTAAATGGGTTACTTGAGCATTATAGAAGAGGCTGAACACTCAGTGTGCCCTCTGCACCAGGGAAAGAGGCAGGTTGGGATCAAAGAACGCAGAAGGGAAGCATGTTCCCCGCTTCTCAAGGCAAGGCTATAGTCCCCTCATAATTCCTGGCCTGGTGAATTCTCAGGCTCCCAGCTGTCAGAAGATCTGCTTCTCCAGTAGATGAGCTGGTGAGGGGAGGAAGAGGCATGCTGTCACGGGGAAGGGGCAGAGCGTTTCTCCCTAGAGCTTTTTTGCCCTCCTAGCCTGGCCCCTAGTGATCACTGTGTGCTTTTCTAGATGGTCACACACGCCATGACACATGCTTGATTTTGTCAGGTGTTCTTGTTTCTAAAAGCCAAGTTTTGAAAATTAACACTAGAACTAACCAAGTGGTCATACGGCACCCTTCTTCCCCACAGGAACAGCCCTGAAAGGAGCCCCTTCTCATGCCCTGTACTCCTGGTCTAGAGGGCTACATGCTCTCTTTGGGCCATGAACTCCTTTGCAAATCTGATTAAAAAAATATTTTACTAGGCCCCTAGAAAACTATACATTACACACAATTTTGCTTTTAAACGTAAACTGCCTTATAAGGCTTCTGACTGCTAATGACTAAAATATTGACTTGGTTTTCAGAAATTACACAGACTTTAGATGGAATAGTTTTATTTAGCAAAAAAAAAAAAAAAAAGAGCCTGCTTCAGATTATCCTCTATTCCATATACTCTAGACTACAATTTGTTAAGTCACAATTGCAAGAGAGCTGGTTCGAGTCTTGATGCTAAACAAAGGGACAAAATTCAGCAGAACTAAGGTAGCCATTGCAAAGGAAATACTAGCGAATGAACCAGAATAAATGATTTTATTGTATTCCATACATTCACAGGTCACGTCCAGATTTAGCAACAACACTGATTAGCCATGCTCGGATTCTATGTACCCATTTTGCTTCGACCATGTAGTAAGTTTTAGCTCTCTCCCGGCCTAGAGATGTGCCACAGCACCATTCCTAACAGTGTAGCCGGCAACAATTTTTCTAGCTGTGGCAGAGCCCTCACGGCCCCCCCTCCCCCGCCACTTTCTCAATAATCTCTAAGTCCTTCCCATCCCTTATGAAACAGATCACCAAATACTCTAGTGCAGGGCTCTTTTGCTCTTTTTATTTCATCAGGACTATTACCCCTTACTCATACCTTGGTTTGGCAGGTGAACTTTGAACTAGCAAGCTTCTGCACAGACCAGCTGGACACAGCACGGTCCTGAAATCACAGCTTTTGCTTCTCTGACCAGAATGCACCCCCCCCCCCCACCCAACACCTGCCTCAGTTACGTAGGTACATGGCATGCCTGGTTCATGCAAACCCATCTCTCCCACAGTAGAAGCTCTTCAAAACCCTGGTGTGACTGGTGAGGAATGGGGTCAACGATTTATTGCATGTGGCTTGTGTCCACCGCAGGGGATTCAGCAGATGAGTGATCACCAGGTCCCCTGCCCTGGACTTGGGCAACTGATCCACACAGTGCTCTGCCTCTTGGCTCTTTCCTCAAGTGATTCTCTGAATCTGAGGGAGGTGGACACACGTTACCTGCCCTCGCATAAATTCCCACTCCCATCGCCACAAACCGAGTTTGAACAGTTCACCGCTCCCTTTACCTAAGCCATCAAAGTGCAACACTGTGCTCTTACTCTATCAGGCACTGAACAGCAGGAAGCTCCAACTTTTTCTTTTCTGTAAGGAGATCTATTTTCTTCACTCTTGGTATTTGTACTATGCCTGCAATCAGAAGCAGCAAACACAAAACAAAAAGCAGAGCAAAAGGCACAGAATGAGCAGGTGTGAGAACTTTACCATTTACTCTTAAAGGAACACTAAACCAAACCAAACCAAGCCCAAGGCCTGTTTGTTGACAATCAACCTCTCCTGCTCCACAGAGAATCAGTCCTCCAATGCAGAAACTCGACTTATTAACCCCTACATTCCAAGTTGTAGGCCTGTATCAGAACTGGAGAGCGGTTATGTTACACCAGAAAACCGAAGTGATCGGAAAGACAGTTAACCACAAATGCTACGAGGCGACCACGGGGTGACCACGAGAACACAACCCATGAGCGCAGGCTCAGGACAGTACTTTGCACAACCCATGAGCGCAGGCTCAGGACAGTACTTTGATGAAATTTAGCAGAATGCAAACAGTTTACATAGAATAAAAATTAGCCAGAAAAATACCTTAGAAAAGATTTCCCCCCCTGTGGATTCCAAGAAACTTTAAAGATACTATGGAATTCTCAATCATTATATTCAAACTACAGAGTTCCAACATTTGCTAATACTATTTTCTAATTATCTTTCTTAAAAGGAAATAAAAATCTGATTTTGAAATATTGACAGGATCCTCCACAGTTAAATATTAACATCTTTTCATCTGAGAACTTTACTGTAAATGTACCTTACAGAAATAGTTATTCAATACTCATTACAAAATGGCATTTAAAGAAAACAAATCTATTCTTAATCCAGACTCTTCATCCAAAAGTTGAATGACTAAAATAACACAACAGAATGAACAAATGTTTTATTGGCGTGTTCATCGTTGTAAACAGCATCTGGCATGAAAAAGTTTTACCAAAACCTTTTTAATTGATTTTTATAAATTAGATGGCATTTTCAAAATTTACGTAGAATTGTGTTCATTGAATAGTCATATTTAGCAAAGCAAAAACTTGCCCATTCTAACAGACTTTGCAATGAAATCACGTTGACTACATCAGCCTGGGCCATGACCTGACTCACTAGCGTTTTCTTCAACACGATGTTAAGACACTTTCGCAAAGTTAAACTACATGTAACTACAAATCAACTCCAGAAATTAAAGTGGGACTTACAAGGGTTTGAGAAGATTCAAACTTGAAGTAAATCTTCAAAAGTAAACGTACAGAGAAAAAAACTGAAGCCGCTGAACAGAAAAACCTCATCAACAAGGGCAAATACAATCGTATGGGACCCAGCACGGAGGAACCTCACTGAGGATTACATGTACATAGACTGCTATACTCCTCAATGTACACAAACGTACGTCATGAATGCTATGTGAAAAGAATAACCATGGGAAATAGTTGAACTGCAATTATGATAACTCAATAGGATCAATTTTATTTACATGCTGAATGAACGAGTGAACCATATTCTCTACATCCATAACTTAAGTACAATCAGTTATAATTACAATACCGCAGCAATTCGAGCTGCTACCTGCTGGGCCCGGTTTAAGGGAAACGTTCTGATGTTCCAGAATAATGTTTTTAATACTTTGCAAAAAACGAAACAAAATAAAAACACAACTTCACAATTCTTTACTGGGTTATGGCTGGTTCTAAGAATTTCTTTCTTCAGCTTCTATTTTTGTTGCTTTCCAAGAGTCAACACACGTTGCATTTACTTCCACATTGTCGATGAGGTAATGTGTGTATCAGTGAAATAAACAGAAAATTCATTCATTCATGGCCTTTGCACAGCTTTTATTATGAAGCTATGAGCATCCTGTTTGAGGCTAGTTTCACTAGCGGCTATGTGCACATTTGTCCGCGATAAAAGAAGTGTACTCATTCCCCTTCCCCCTTTCCTAGTAGCAGGTTTCGCTTTTTGTTTTTATTTTTTTGCACATCCCTTTTCACTTTACAGTACATTTGACTATAGTGCACAACATGATTCCAAGTCAAAACAGTGGCCCATTGGGCACTGAGCTTCTGATTGGTGAAGGGCAGTCCAATCAGTGCTGGTGTCACTGGGTTACCCCTACCCATGTCCGGCCATAACGGCACTACACAGTAGCAGTGAACCATCTAATTAAAACAAAAATCCCCCAGGGAAAATGCTACACTAGCAGAGTCAGTCTTGAGTCAGATCTTTATTTGGTGCTCCATCCAGATATATTTTTAGTGCTTTCTCTTTCCGAGGTGAGTACGTGACACGATGTCCTGTCTTCTGGAGTCGGCTGCTTTCTTTTTTCATCAGTTCATTTCTTTGCTCTTCTGTTAACTCCATTAATTCTTCTGTTTTATCCCTACATTTAAAATATTAATTACATATCAGATCGGTATAGCCATCTGCCTTTATTAACCTATGCTTGCATGTTACAATGTTCCTTGGTAAGAAAATGAAACCTGTCAACACTGGTGCAGTTAAATAATCTCACATTAAGATGTCCTGGATGGCGAATGTGTTTATTACATTAACACGGCACTGACTTCTAAAAATGGCACAGAGAATTCCCACGCTATTATTAGCATAATAATAGCCATCACTGATTGAACGTTTATATATAACATGTACTATGGCTAGTTTTGTTAAAAGTAGTAGTCACTGTTCTCAGAAAATCCTGTAAGCCTGACACCACTACAGAGACGAGCAGCTAGGGAAGTAACAAAGCCTAGGCGAACTCCTATCTGCCAGGCATCAGTGACTCTTCGTTTTCCCCCTCTGCATTTGTGTTGGCTCATACAGTAGCCACTCGCTCCATGTGCCTACTGAAAGCTCGACACCTACCAGAAGTGTAACACACACTATTTCTATGAAGTACTATCATAAAAAGAATGTAAAATATCTCATGAATGACTTTTGATATTGATTACATGTTATGATAACATTATGGATATACTGGGGTAAAATATTTTATTAAAATTAATTTCACCGGTTTCTTTTTACTTTAAATGTGGCTACTAGAAAAATTCAAAATGTAATGTGTGGCTCTTGTACTAAGTACTGGTCGGGGCTATCTTATACAAGGAAAAAAAGTAAAGGTATTTATGGAAAACAAGATACTTCTGCACAACAAAAATGTGACATCACTGGGAATAACAAACACTGTAAAGATACCTATAAAATATGACGGCACCATCATCACAAATATAAAGAGGCCAGACATTCAGGGTAGAAACTTTAGGATTCCAGTCCAAATCCTGATGAATATCAAGGATAGAAATATCGCAGGGAAAAGTTCCTCTACCCTAAGGAAAAAATAAATGAATGAATAAATCATGCTGATAGCCATGTTTATTGAGCACTAGTACCCAAATGCAAACATTCTCAAGGCTTTACCTTAGCAAATTCAATATCTTCTAAAGGAATTCCACTGATTTCACAAAGCTGTAAATGGAAATATTTTATATGAGTTCACTTAAAAAATAAATGTGCTTAAATAAGTTATCAACCTTTTAACCCACACAGAAATAGCTTGATTTTTTTCAAAGATGGAATAAGTGTTTGATATGAAAAATTAGAGGGGCACCTGGGTGGCTCAGTTGGTTAAGCGTCTGACTTCAGCTCAGGTCATGATCTCACGGTTTGTGGGTTTGAACCACATGTCTGGCTCTGTGCAGACAGCTCAGAGCCTGGAGCCTGCTTCAGATTCTGTGTCTCCCTCTCTCTTTGCCCCTCCCCTGCTTCCATGTGCTCTCTCTCTCTGTGTGTCTCAAAAAGTAAAAATAAAACGTTAAAATTTTTTTTTAACTAGAAAAAAAAGCAGAAAGTGGTGGAATTGTCTCTTGTCCACCCTGCAAATACCATGTCCCAGAAATGGCAACTTAGTATATTCCTCCTAGACCTTTTCCTGTGCACATATATCACATATATCTAAAATACATAAAATTATATTTATGAAACCTCTGTTTATAACACTTTTATATAGCCTATATATAAGAATAGAACACAGAGTAACCTCATGCTCTTCAATAGCTGAAAAATATACCATTTTATTCCCTACCAATGGTTACGGAGCCTGTTGTTAATTTTTCTAGTTACAATGCTATACCATATATACCTTCATGAATGTCCTTTCATATTTCTGCAAATTTAAAAAAAATTTTTTTTAATGTTGTATTTACTTCTGAGAGAGAGAGAGAGAGAGACAGCGTGAGCAGGGGAGGGTCAGTGACAGAGGGAGACAGAATCTGAAGCAGTCTCCAGGCACTGAGCTAGCTGTCAGCACAGAGCCCGACACAGGGCTCGAACCCATGAACCGTGAGATCATGACCTGAGCAGAAGTTGGACGCTTAACTGACTGAGCCACCCAGGCACCCCTTTCTGCAAATATGTCTTGAGACTGGGTTCTTAAGATGTGGACGTGCACATCTGAAACACTGATGATGCTAAATTGAAGCCTGAAACAGTGATGTCAATTTAGCCACCTATCAAAGCTGTATGAGGGGTGCCCGCGTGGCTCGGTCGAGTAAGTGCCTGGCTCTTGATTTCAGCTCAAGTCATGATCTCACAGTTCATGAGTTCGAAATCCACACTGGGCTCTGTGCTGACAGTGCAGAGCTTACTTAAGATTCCCTCTCCCTCTCTTTGTGTTCCTGTCCTGTTCGCATGAACACACGTATGTGTACTCTCTCTCAAAAATAAATAGACATTAAAAAAAAAAAAAAAAAAAAAAAAAAAGCTGTGCGATCTGACCTGTTTTCCCAAACTGACAACTCTAGGTATTTTGATTTTCTACATTTTCACCATTTTAAGAGGTAAAGAATGCTGTTATTGCCTATTCAAGTTCTTTGCCTATTTTAAAATGATTATTCACCTTTTTCTTATTAATGCAGTAGCTCCATATAAATAAGGACCATAATACTTAATATATGTTTCAAATAGTTTTTCTTCTTGTTTTTAATCTTTGTTTATCGGTTGTTTATTAAAATTTAAAAAAAGAAGAAACTGGAGGGATGCCTGGGTGGCTTAGTTGGTTGAGTGTCTGACTCTTGATTTCGGCTCAGGTCATGGAGTAGAGGCCCACGCTGGGCCCATGCTCAGTGAAAGATTCTTTCTCTCTCTCTCCCTCTGCCTCTCTTCTCCACTCATGATCTCCCTCTCTAAAATAAAAATTTTTTATATTAAAAAGCTAAATTGGAGAGGAAGCTGTGTGGAAGGTTTATACTTCTATGTGGTCTTTTCTTTTTTAGTTTCTGATATTATGCTTACAAAAATCTTTCCCTCTCTAGAACATAAAAATATTTTCAACCTTTTCATCTAGCACATTTATCATTTTATTGTATTTTTATATAAATTTAATATACTTAGAATTTATTTTTGTGTTTGGTGTGAATTATGGAAATAAAGTTTTTTTAAGATGCCAATTATCCTAGTACTGCTTATGAATAATTCAACCATTCCTCAGAGAGCCACAGAATTCCCACCTTTAAAATAAAAATGCAAAAGAGAGCTTCATCTAGATTCTTTATTCAATTCCACAGCATTTGGCTTCTTAAAATATATACAGCAATTTAGTAACTTCTAACTAATGCTAATTACTCAGGACAAACTTGATTCAAATAACTAAAAGTCAGGGTCCATTTCTGGATGGCCAAAAGCCAATGTAATTTTTCAAACATCAGGAGCCTGAGAAAACAAGGAGAGTGTGTGACAAAGAAAGAAGGTTGCCACGTGAGTGTTTGGCATGTAATTACTTCCTAGGCTATCTCTTAAGCAACACAGAGAAAAACACGTATTAGTTCAGTCTGTTTGAAATGAACTTACCGGGGCGCCTGGGTGGCTCAGTCGGTTAAGCATCCGACTTCGGCTGAGGTCTGATCTCACAGTTCGTAGGTTCGAGCCCCACGGTGGGCTCTGTGCTAACTGCTCAGAGTCTGGAGCCTGCTTCAGATTCTGTGTCTCCCTCTCTCTTTGCCCCTCCCCCACTCATGCTCTATCTCTCTCTGTCTCAAAAATAAACTATAAAAAAAAAATTAAAAAAAAAAAAAAGAACTTACCTTCTCTCGCAGCTCATCAACACTACTGCTTTCCAACACAACCTCCTGGAAGGGATCCAGCTTCATCTCTGAAGGCCTCCACCGTCTTGACAAAACGGCAAGCTGGGACATAGATTTCATCTTCTCCACCCCTATGAGGATGCAAGATTAGGTCATCCTTCTCTTTTCTCTAGAGGCCCATTAATCCCTCTCTTCTTATTTACTCAAAATTTACTGATTCTTCAAAACCCAGCTCAATTGTTACCTTTCTCTCTGGTGTACACGAGAGCAAACTGCACTGATTTGGTCCTTAGGTACCTATGATTCTGGAATTACAGGTTTGCAGAAATTTTGGAATTTATGGTTCTCTTAGAGACTGTGCGTCTGGAGTACAATCACTGCTTCTTATTCATTTTTGTAGCACCAGAGATTAGTAATGTCTGGCAATTTACAGGTCAATAAATGTTTCTTAGATTTAATCGCATGATTTCGCATGGATTTACTTCTTAATTATTTTGAGGCTAAAATATATACTGAAATGATACTGACACAGGCACCCACTATCCAGTATCATCTCCCGAGTGACCCACCTCTGCTAATACACACTCAATCCTTCCTAACAAGGGGAACTTCTCTGTCCATCACCATCTCTTCTTGGTCTACTCAGACACAGTGATTATTCTCTAAGGCCCCAGACACTCACTCAAGGAATCACAGTCCAGAACACTTGCCTATACATCATAGTAGACAGTGTCCTGGCTGTCCCTTGACTCCCCCATTAACTTGTCAAATAATCATAGTTTTTACAATAGAAATTTAAACCAAATTAGATCTTAAATAACAAGGAATAGGTGAGGTGTTAGTATTATTCAGCCCTCTGAAAAGTATCATAATCTTATGATGTGTTAATTTCTATGGAAGAAAAGGAAAATTAAAATCTATCTAGGCAATAGGAGTCCCAAAAGAACATAGAACTAGTTGTTTCCCTTGATATGGTCACCCCAAAGTCAACTTTCCTCACATTACCTCTTCTAAAAAAACAGTATTTTAAATGCTCCAATGCTGGACATTAAAAGCAGGAGATGTGACAAACACAGGTCCTCTTCTGGGTCACAGTTACAGGTTGAACTGTGTCTCCTCAAAAAGACACTTAAAGTCCTGTACCTAGTACCTCAGACTAAGACCTAATTTGGAAATAGGGTTGTTCTAGTGGTAATCAAGTGAAAATGAGGTCATTAGGGTGGCCCTAATCCAACAGGACTAGTGTCCTTATAACATGGGAAAATGCAGAAGCAGACACCCGAGCAGACACGGACACACATCTCTCATCAAGTAGTAAGCCTGCTGACACCCTGACCTCAGACTTGCAGCCTCCAGGCTGTGAGACAACACATTTCTATTGCTGAAACCATCCAGTCTGTGGTACTCGGTCACTGTTCTCAAAATCTCTGGTAAATGATCAATGCTACATCCTCAAAACAAAATAAGCCATAATGAAAAAAGACAGGTAGGAAAATGTCAGCAGAGTTTTCTGTAGAAAGTACTACAAATGCAAACTTCGAAACTGTCGACTTTCTATAAGGAGAAATTAATATTCTCAAAATTAAGAAATATCTAGAAGGCAAATGCAACCCAGAGTAAAGATAGGAGAAAACTTGTTCTTTGATAAAAACTATATGCTTCTATCAGTTCCAGAGCACTTCTGATAGTTTCCCACAAAAATATGGATTATACCATCAAGAACTTCAAGGAACACCTCCCAGTTGCTGGAGATATTAATGTCTTCTTCATAAATATGATAATCCAGAAAGACAGTGCCAGGGTTCTTCCATGTTTTTTTCCTTAGACGGAATCTACAAATGTGATAAGACATTTTAAACTACTATAACTTGAGATTCTTAACCTAAAAACAACATGATTCTGACATCGAGGAAAAATGAACTATGTTTAAGTACAAAAGTCAAGTGATTATTCATTAAAATTTAGGGAAAATATGGGGTACCTCAGTCAGTTAAACTTCCGACTTTGGCCTCAGGTCATGATCTCGCAGTCTGTGGGTTCGAGCCCCACATAGGGCTCTGTGCTGACAGCTCAGAGCCTGGAGCCTGCTTTGGATTCTGTCTCTCCCTCTCTCTCTGCCCCTTCCCCCAATCATGCTCTGTCCTCTCTCTCAAAAATAAATAAACATAAAAAAAATTTTTTTTAAACTTGGGGGAAACTATAATGAAATGCTCCCCCAATTACAAATTTAGTATCCTACAGAGGAAGTTCAAACAAATTCTCATATTTTGCTTACTTCTATTAATCTATAGTATTAAAACCTTGATTAGTAGAGGAATTCTTCAATTCTAGTTTTAGAAAATCATACCAATCCATATCAACTGCCCACACAAGATTTCCTCAAACTGCTGATGACACTGTCATTTTACTTTACCTGTCAGTACTGAGCTCTAAGCCACACTGCTCCCTGAGTTGAGGAATTAATTCCTCTTTTGATTGCCGTACTGTCATTCCTTTAGCAAACACAGCATCTAGCAGAAACTTGCAAGGCTAGGAATACAAACATAAAACAATCAGCTAAATTACACATTCAATAGGGGTACACAGACATTTTATTTGCATTGTATAGTGTGATAATTATAGGACTGAGTTTAGGAGTTGATCTTCCTAGGTTCAAATCTTGGCTCCACTACTTACTAAATAAGCTATCTTGGGCAAGTTTACTTAACCATTCTGGGCCTCCTTTTTCATTTTTTAAAAATTATTATTTTTTATTTGAGAGAGAGAGGAAGAGAGAGAGAGAGAGAATGAGCAGGGGAGAGGGGGGCAGGTGCCCCTCGGTCTCATTTTCATCTGTCTTCTCACAGAGTAATTGTGAAGATTAAACACCACATTCATATTTCTCTCCTTATATTAAAATGATCACAATTTTGAAAGTGAAAAGAATCACTTTTATGGACTAAAATGAGGGAAATGCATACTACTCCAAATATGTTCATTTTTTTTCTCAGAAGGGATATTTTATCTACAAACACCAAACTCAGAACATTCACATATAAGACATATGATGAGGGGCGCCTGGGTGGCTTAGTCGGTTGGGCATCCGACTTTTGCTTAGGTCATGATCTCGCGGTTCATGGGTTCGAGCCCCACGTCGGGCTCTGTGCTGACTGCCAGCTCAGAGCCTGGAGCCTGTTTCAGTCTGTGACTCCCTCTCTCTCTGAGCCTCCCCTGCTCATGCTGTCTCTCTCTCTCTCCTAGAAATAAAAAAAAAAAAAAAAAAAAAAAGACATATGATGAGTTGGGATGCCTGGGTGGCTCAGTCAGTTAAGCGTCTGGCTCTTGATTTCGGCTCAGGTTATGATCTCACAGTTCGTGGGTTTGAGCCCCACATTGGGCTCTATGTTGATGGAGCAGAGCCTGCTGGAAATTCTCTCTCTGCCCCTCCCCTCCCCTACTCATTCTCTCTCATTCTCTAAGAAAAAAAATGTGATGGGCGCTCAATAACTTCTCTGTTGGACAAATGAAGGCATTTTATGAAACATTTCTCCCTTTTCAGCAGTCCCTCTTTATCCGTGATTTCCCTTTTGCATTTTCAGTTACTTGCAGTTAGCCAACTGGAGTCCGGAAACAAATGATCCTTCTGCCAAATCATCAGAAGACCAGGAGTAACCCAATGCTATGTCACAAAGCCTACATCATTCCCCTCACTGCATCTCATCACACAGCATTTTATCATGTTATGTTATCACAAGAAGGGTAAATATAGTACAATGAGATTTTTTGAGAGAGACCGCATTCACATAACTTTATTACAGTGTTCTAACTGCTCTACTTTATTTCTGGCAACAGTTAATCTCCTACTGTGCCAAATACAGAAGTTAAACTTTATCAAGGTATGCATGTCTAGGTAAGAGCATAGTATATAGGTAGGGAGCGACCGTATCTGCGGTTTCAGGCATCCGCTGGGCAGGGGGCAGGGGGGAAGGGGAGTTTTGGACACATCCTCTATGGATAAGAAGGGGAGAACACGGTCTTTGCTATTCAGTTTGCACATTTGTCTAGGTCTTCACTAAGATGTTATAAACATCCCCAAAACAGAGACTTTGCCTTTTCCTTCTGGGCGTTTGCCTGGCATCTGTTATATGACCTTAGGCAAGTTACATAACTTCTTTGTGTCTCAGTTTCTTTGTCTACAAAATGGGAACGATACCATTTCCATCATAGCTAACTGATGAAGATTCAAGGAGTTAACATCTGCAAACATATGGCAGCTACGAGATAAATGCTTGCTAAATACTGACATGACTCTCTTAACACAAAAAGTCCTTACGCACTCTACAGATCAAATGCTATCCCCCTGGAGCACTACACGAGAAATTCCTAAAATCAAGCACAAACAAGTCCCCTCTTCAAAGCAGGAAATATCTGCCTCACTCCAGCATGTGTAATAACACTTGAAAGCAGAGCAAAGGCAAAGAAAGGCTTGAGGGCCACGTTCATTTGCTGCATGTTTTTGTAAATAAAACTGTGTTGGGACACAGCTAATCCCACTGGCTTATGTACGGTCTACGTCTGCTTTTGTGTTCCAGGGGCAGAAATGAGTGGCTGCAACAGAGGGAGTATGGCCTGCGCAACCAAAATAGTTTCTGGCAAGTGTCCTGACCTGTCTTTAGAGAAATCAAAAGAAATGTCGAGTCACAACATCTCTGCTCTCTACGTTTTTAATAACTAGCAGAAGTGACGTCTTATTACTCTGAAGCAGATCAACTTACCTCTTGCTCATTGACCAGCAGCTGGTACACTTTAACTCTGTATTCTCCTTTTTTAAGTGCTCTCCCCAGTCTAATTGTAATCTATAAATTAAAAACACTTTTTTAGATATATTACCTCCGCAGAATAAACAACCCATTCTCCCCACACTGTTTAGTTTGGTCTTCAAAAATTCTTTAGATTATGGGCTCTTTGAGAACAGGTGTATCTTTCACCTCTGATTCCCAGCACCTAGAATAGTAACTGACACACAGTTAACATTTAACAAATGTCTGTTAGATGAATGAAAAACAGTGACGACGACCGATCACTAAACATAAAAACAAAACAACCCTTTTAGGGCTATTTCACCTTACTTGGAAACAGGGCAAGATGTTCTCAAATCTATCATGTAAAACAGACTCTAATTATTGGAAATGATTTTAATCAACCTTATTGTCGTCTGAAAAGGATGAAAGTGTCTCGTTCAGCCGGACGCTCTCGAACTCCTGGTTGCTGGCATACACTCGGAAGACCTTGAAGTGAGAGGACAAAGCTCCAACAAAGGGCTCTAAGTGTTGTTTGAAAGCAGCCAGTGTAATTCTTTTATCAACATGCACCATCAGCCCTAAGTACAAAACAACCAAAACAAAACAGAAACAAACCTCTTAGAATATAAATAAAACAGATCATACGCACTTTATTATACTGTAAGCAGGGAAAAAGTACCCCCTTCAGTTATGTGACTTTTAGCTAATACACAACACATTGGATGGACAAAAAACATAGACATGGGAGCATACAATGAAATCCAACAGCTTCAACAACTTCCAGTGTTCTGAGACTGAAGTGCTTATCTATTTATTCATATAGGCTGCTGAATCCCAACCAAACTTCAGTAATTCTTTTCTATTACATACATTTCTAGTTCTCCACAGTGATAATGTAGGCTCTGGATGGGTTCCAACCGCGCCTCTTCTGCTTCCCAGCCGTGACCTGGGCCAAGCCACCAGCCTCCTTATACCCACTTCCTCATTTTAAAACCAGCCTCCTTATACCCACTTCCTCATTTAAAAAAGGGAGACAGTAGTATCTGATTCCTAGTACTGCAGTGTGAATTCAGTGAGACAACATGTTTATCATGCTTTTGGCACAGTGCCAGATATCTAGTAATTGCCTCAAAAATTGTTAGTAAATTTGGTTCTGGGATTTCTACTAGGAAAAAAATGTCAAGACGAGTATATGAAGATGTCTGTTTTATCACGTGGTTGGACTGACTGTGATAGGAAGAGCATCTAAATGGATCAGAAACTCCCAACCCTCCTTCAAGCTTCAATATAAACTCTCATGGCAAGGCAACAGGATTATTTTTGGTGAGCTTTATTTTTTCTTATACTTATTAATCTTTCGTCCTTTATAAGCTACTCATGAGCATACTTCTAAAATATTTGTAAGACTGTGGTCTTAATATCCTACTAAAGAGCAACAACTTCACTCATGCTTCTCCCTCTCTTACAACAGGCATTGCAGGATGCAAGAGCTGCCGTCCTGCTTTAGGCCAGTGGTTCCTCTGGAGACCTAAGGCTCGCTCGAGGGTAGGCCTGGCTTTTCTGTAAAATTTACATAAAAAGTCAAGGATGAGGGGTGCCCTAGATGGCTCAGTTGGTTAAGTGTCCTACTATTGATTTCAGCTCAGGTTATGATCTCATGGTTCGTGGATTTAAGCCCCATGTCAGCCTCTGGGTTGGTGACAGAGCCTGCTTGAGATTCTCTCTCCCCCTCTCTGCCCCTCCCCCAAGTGTACGCACATGTGTGCTCTGTCTCTCAAAAAAAAAAAAAAAAAAAAAAGTCAAGGATGAGACCTTAAAGCATGCCTGGTTTATGTTCCCAGGTTGACCCAACTTTTGGGTTGATGACTTTTTTAGTGGACTTTTTAAAATAACTTAATAATGTTCATTTACTGTTTTCCCAGTTTAAGATTCAGATCCACTATAGAAAATGTGACTATAAATATAGAATATAAACATGGTGATGAACTTTTTTGCTATATACACCTTTTCAGGCAGCATTTCTTTCAATTCCTTTAAAATGTCCATTTCTAAATTTTAAGGAATACCCCTAAATAATCCAGCTTTTGGGAAATAAGCCTCTATTTACACTATCTAGCAGGTAAAACATTTCTTGAGAGAAGGGTATAATGAAAAAAATTACTTGATTAGAAATCAGAAGCCAATGACTACATTTCAGTTTTGCTGCTTTTGCCTGATAAACGGCTATTGGTAAGTCATCCAATGTCTCTGGGCCTCAGTTTTCTCATGGAATCATTACACCAGTCTTAATGATTGCTGTTATAACAAATGTAGTAAATTCTAAGTCATTACTCAAACAATAAGCTATTACCACCATTTTGGTGTCTCTTATAACTCATAGTAATGTATCACAGGAAGATACAAATGTTTGTGGGTTATTGATATAGTCCAATATGGTGATTAGGACCAAGTGGTTCTGGAGTGGATTGGCCTGGCCTGAATGAATTCTTGGCTCCTCCTCATACATTAGATCTGTGACTGTGACTTAACTTCTCTGTACCTCAATCACCTCTATTATAAAATGGAGACAGTAGTGTTTATACCTCACGTGTTTTGGGGTTGGTGTATGTCAAATGTGTAATACAGCCCAGGCAAAAATTGTTGGCTTGATTGGCTGCAATCATAATTTTAGAGATTAGCATCATACCATTTTCCCTATTTACCTCCTTCAAACTGAAGAGTTTAGTCTCTTCACAGAGCAACTTCAAAGTATCTTTAGGGTTTTTATCTTTCCTTTACGTATTTCTTGAATAAGGTGGTAACCAAAATTGTACAAAGAAATTATCAGTGTAAATGCACTGCCATTTTTATTACCTCGATCTCCCTATTTATACCAGAGTGCCTGCAGACTACAATAGATCACAGTGGAACAGTATTTTCAGAGAAGGGTCTATAGTTACTCCCCGAGACAATTCCTGGATTATAACAGATAGCTTAAAGACCATCACTTTAAGTGCATTTCAGTTATTACCCATATTGTCTATACTGTACATAAAATGTCACTCTTCAGACATCAAATTCTTTGTTTATGTGTTACACACTGCCATTCCATCACTCTGAAGATCCTGTATTATTCATCACCCATGTTATCCAGGCACCTACTTTGAGGTCACTGAGGAACTGTGAAGAACCTGCCTTAGTACAGACTCCTGAAGCACCTGGCTGGGAGCTCTCAACCCTACTCCTCTACCTCTAAGCCCGTTTTCACTTTTTCTGTTCAAATAAGCCTTCTGCATGGCTTCAGAAAATCAAAAGAAACTGTAGTAAATGGGTTCTCTTGATCATCATGTTTACTATTTCAATGAATGCTAGTAAACTAGTTCACTATGAATTTTCAAAAAGGTGGAAGGAGACTCCTCAGACTATAATTCTAAGTATTCTCTTTAAATTCTTAACGATGAGACTCATGCAGTCAAATTTCCAGCACATCATTATAAACCAAATCACTTAAGAGAAATTTCTGAACTTTTTGTAAAGAGGAGCTATTTGTAATCTTCCAATGCTCTTGAAGGGTTGAGGCTGGGAAGAAAGCAGGGTAGCTACTGGCTACTTTTCCTTTACTCGGATGTGAGGAAAGTAAAGGACAGTGGGTAGCAGTTACGAGGTGGAGAAATGCAGACCGGCCTGACTATCAGAATATAGGAGTTAGATCCCTGCAGTGTGACCTACCAGCTGTGTGACCTCCGGCAAATGTAAGTCAGTTTGAGTCAGTTTCTTCATCAGCAAAAAGGGTCTAACAGCATCAATTTCACATAGCTGTTGGGAACTAAGTGAGATAATGTGAGTTAATGAGCCTTATGAAGTAAAAACTCGACAGGAAGTTAAAGCATTATTACAGTTTCTGTCTCCATTGTGGCTCACCAACCCACATTTCCCCACCTGAGTTCCTGCAAGGTATCTGTCTGGATGTCACATGGTTCCAGTGGTACCGGGAACTAATTAGTTAAAAAGACATATTTATGTATTTTTACTACTGATTTCATAATTTCTACCACTTCCTTTTAAAAGACTAAATTTTGAGACTATAAGCATCACAGCCATTAACTTTCATGGTGGTTGTTGGTGTGCCTTCTCCCACCAGACGAAACATAAGGCTACATGCATCTTTGTCACCTCCACTTCTAATATCTACATAGGGCCCGGCATCTTGAATGGATTCAGGAAATATTAACTGGGTGGGTGGATGAACAGATGGATAGCCTGGGACTCCCTTCCCACTGTTACAAAGGTAACGGAGCAAATGCATTCAATTCAAAGACTTATACTCTAGTAATGATTCCACTACTTACTAGCTACACGAGTATTTTTGGGTAAGTCATTCATCCCCTAAGAGCTTCAGTTTTCTTATCAGTCAAATGGGGGTATCAATATGTGCTTTATTAATTTCAGAGAAGCTTCAAGTGAGAACAAAGTATTCTGAAAACTAAAATATAAAAGTATAAGGGGTAATATTAATATTTGCATTGTTAAAGACTAATGAAAAGTATTTGGTTTTTCGAGCTATTTCCCTTTTACACTTGAAGAATTTTGTATATTGAACCTGGTTGTCCTGCTAATTCTCTGGCTGTTTTAATCTGATGTTTTATAAAAGTTGTTTTACTATTTTCATGTTGGTGTGTTTTTATTGTTGCTGCTTCTCCCAAATACCTAAACTGACAGATCTCTTCAATCTTTTTGTGATTATACAACTGAGAATTTCTAGTTTATACTTTGCCTGGAACTTACTTCAAAGTATCAACTTTAAAAAAGCCCCTTTCCTTTTTCTGACTTTCCCAGTTAACTATGGACTATTTAGGGGGTGGGGGAAGGCAGTTATTTGCCTTGAGAGATAAAAAGAAGAGAGAGGATGCACATATAAAACCTTTTCCCGGGCAATGAATATCAAATTTTATCTTTTTGATATATTATTTACTTTTTAAGCTCTTTTTTGGTTTTTAACTTAGAACTTTTATCATAATTCTTTCCTTTAAAGCAATTCTTAATTCTTTGCTTTAAAAAAAAGTCTTAATTCTTTTCTTTTTCACTTTTCTCCCCCAGAGTTCTGATGTCACTGCTGTCACAGGTCTGATGTGCTGTGGAGGTCCAAGGACACTTGTTACCACAACTGCCCCAAAAGTGAAAACAAAGTCAACAGAGAACACTCTTATAATCCAGGAAGTTACGGGTGATCTTAGAAAACAAAGTACTTAACTCTTAAATAAACCAAGAAACCAATTTGTGCTGTTTCAAGGAGTGGTTTTCTTTCTAAGTACATACATTTATGTCCTTCCCCAGAACCTTCGTCTGCAGCATAGGGTTCTGCTTTGAAATACATGTACTGTATTTCTCCCCTGCTCTTGCCACTCTCATCATATTCACTGTCCGTTCCAGAATCTTCTTCTGCTGTGTCCCATGTCTCTTTCTTCCCTTCATTTGCTTTAGTTCTTCTACTACTTGTGATGCTGTGAGAGTCAAGTCCATTAGCCAAAGGAATCTGAGCATTATCGGCATTGCACAAAGTGTCACTGCTATGACTGGAGCTAAGAATGTCACTGTCCACTGAACTTGTACTCCTGTCATTATTCACATCTGAGTCTGATCGTTCTTCAGATTGAAAATTTTCGGGATCAGAAGTCTGAATGTGCTGTTCAAGTTCTCTATTGTCCACTGACGCTGAAGAGTCCCTCTCATTGAGAGGTGATTCTATGTTTTCAAAGTCACTTGTCTCAGTACTTTTGCTGCTGTCCCCATTATCTCCATCTTGCTGCTGCTGTAGTGACAAGCTTTTGAGTTTTTCAGTGCTTTCTTCTAGAATAGCTTCCACAGACTTTAGGCTACCCACAGGTCCTTTGACTCTATCACAGTCATCATCCACATTACCAGAATCGCCCCCAGCTTTCTGGCATGCTGTCCTTTTGGAGTAAGAGCCTGGGGACTGTTCAGGTAACAAAACAAATAATCTGATCGTATTTGCATGACGATCCAGGAGTTTCCACAAATGAGAGTCTGTAAAGGCCATCTGGTAATCCAAAGTCTCAGAACTTTCAACAAATACCTATATAGTAAGTCAGAGAGTTACATTATATCATTAATTTTTAGTGACATTCATTCTTACTCATATCACCTCAATACAGGACAAAATGTTGTAAAATTTGGGATGATGACATTTCTAAAGGAAATCTGTACTGTTTTTGAAGACAAAATAAAATAAATATTCTGTTCATATGCCCTTGTAATTACCCATGAAACTGTGCTAAGATAGATACGACAGACACACACTTGAGCACGCGCACACAAAAGTTTATTGGGTTTTCTATTTTCAGAAAGTTTTTGTATTCCACATCTTGCTTATTAGGAAAACAAGTGTAGCATGAAACAGATAAAGAAACATACAAGGGCATTTTGGGAATGTAATACCAAATAAACCCAATGGACAAATGACTTGATTCTAGAGCAAATAAATGGCAAGGAAATAAACACACATGGGGGAGCTGTATGTTAAAACAGACTTGAGAGAAGGGGTACCAGGGTGGCTTAGTTGGTTAAGTTATCCAACTTTAGCTCAGGTCATGATCTCACGGCTCATGAGTTCAAGTCCCGCAATGGGATCTGTGCTGACAGCTCAGAGCCTGGAGCCTGCTTCAAATTCTGTGTTCCTCTCTCTCTGCCTCTCCCGTCCTCATGTTCTGTCTCTCTAAAATGAGTAAATGGTTTTAAAAAATTAAAAAGAAAATAGACTTGAGAGGTATATCATGGACTTTATTTGGATCCTATCTGAACAAATGAATCCTATAAGAAAAAAATTTTACAAAACAATCAGGGAAACTTGAAATACTATCTGTTATAATATCTTTTGATATTAATTTATTGTTAAATTTTCTAGATGTAATAATATAATTATAGTTGTTTTTAAAAAAGTTCTCGCCTTTTAGAGATAGACATTCAGATTATTTATAGATGAAATGATATTTCATCTGGGGATGTTTTTCAAATAATCTGGGGGGGAAGTACTGGTTAAATACAGATAAACAAGAGTTGATAACTATTCAATAAATGTTACAGATCAGGACCTTTAGCTAACCACTTAAAGAATAAAATAAAGTGAGATCCCACCTACTTTTTACCCTAAAGCAGTATTAGGATGGATTTTAATGATACACACATAAGCAGTAGATAAAAGTATCCAACGAAGACAGAGGTAAATAAAAAGTACACATTAGGAACAATATGACAACACTAAAAAAGGTAAAATAAGATAAAAGACTAAACTGCACTAAGATAAATGAGACTGGAAAAGGCAATAAATAAAACATGACAAACGGAAAATTTTAGATGCAATTTATCCAGAGTTAACTAATGGTGTTAAGAATAAACACACATGAAAAATGATAAATGATAGAACAAGTCAGGAGATGGAACAAGAGATGAAACAAACAGATCAATGTGAACTTTCTCTTTTCTATCAGAAATAAATAAGTAGGTAAATGACCATCTTCTCTAGAGTAGGCATGTCTTTGATTTTCCCCATCAAGTACTGCTTTACATGAGAAGCTTAAGAATGAATGTAACATAATTCACAGAATCCAGACGACAAGATTGCTGTGGACAGAAATGGTTAGTAAGGCTTCATCAAGAGGCAGGACTAATCTGGGGCTTGAAAAAAAATGTAGGGAGGGGGGAAGAACACTGTAGGTGGGGGTAGCTCATGAACAAGACCTAGAAGAAAACCACCAAGACTGATGGAGGACAGGAAGAGGCCTGATCTGACCTGATTACAAAGGAAGGTAAATACCGACAGGCTGGGAGAATTTACAAGGTAAATTACAGACAAATAGTGGAAAGCTCTAGAGGCCAGTCTTATAATATGATTTAATTTACTATTATAGTAATAGCATTTTAATACTAGGATTTAGTATTTAATTCTAGTATTTAATACTAGAAAATAGTATTTCTAGTATTCTAGTATTTAGTAATTCTAGTATTTAATACTAGAAGATAGTAATGAAGAAATAAAAGACACACCTTGTTACTTCTAAAGAAGCCTTCAGCTTTCAGGGTCTTACTGGGCACCGTGAGGAGGCGCAGATCATTGTGGCAGCGCTCCAGTACTATCCGCATGGTCTCCGCAGGTAAGTGGATGGCCTGCAAGGGGAGCAATTCGGTAAAAAGGCCTTGCAAGGACAATTCTGCTGGACTCAGAAATGTGGATGAAGAGACACTGCTGAGTTTTTATAAATAACAGAAAGAAAATTAAAAGAAAATAATCTCAGCGGAGGCTTACAAATTTTTACAGAATCTTATGGGGAAAATTATTCTATCCATTATTTACATTGTAAATCAGAGAACAAAGTATCACTTATAAACAGATGCTCTGAAACTATTTTAAAGGTAATGATTTCTCACTAAAAATTCTATTCCTCTCACACTTGCAAAGTAAATGAGGTGATGTGGCTCCAAAGAAATTGAATAACTGATTCTCTGAGAGCAGATGTCAAACTAGTAACTGTTTAACTCTTGAACTTTTGATGGGTTCTTTTGTATTCTACAAAGAGTTATTAATACTTTTACAAAATCATTTATCTTCTGCCTAAAATGAGACTAAATTAATAGATTAAGTTTAAAGTTACTCTAAAATTACATGTCCTTAATTTGAGGTATCATTTTAGGAATTTCACAAGAGATGATCAAAATTTACATTAAAAAAAACATGATTTGTTTTCAACACAACTAATGATAACTAATTCTTAGGCGGTCTAGTTAGACTTTAACAGCTACCTTCCTTGGCTGTGACTGCCTTTATTCTCTACAGATAGTATTTTCCCCCAATAAAATTATTAACTTCTTCAGGGAAGGCAAGGTCATGTGTTTCTTTTGTATTCTACCTCAGTACTCATACTCTAAATTAAACTGTAATAAGGAGCAAGTACACTAATGTAGTCTTTCTAAGAGCAAGTAATTGTAAAATCTAACTCCAAAACATGATTTATCTCCTCGAATTATCTATTACTTTGGCAGAAGTGTTAGAGGTCATTATTGTTTTTATAACGCAATGATAATTAAAACCCAACTTTTACGTAATACTTCACAATTTTTTCCCCACAGACCATTTATTTATTCCATTAACATTCACAAAAACCCTATTAAAATAGGCATTTAAAACAACCTAGATGAGCTCAAAGACAATATTGCCATAGAGAAATGACTGGAAAGTGGATCAACTTCTCACTTGCTATTAGTGAACAATTTCCACTACAGCAAGGCATCTGAACCTAGGGCTTAAGAACCCTGAAAATTTTCACCTATGTTTGTGTGCTCAATGTTCTATAGAATAATAGTATAATCATTTCTCTGGAGTAGACTAGCTTTTTGTCCAAGGAAATTTGAATGTTTTCATCATATTTTTCCAGCTCATAAATTCTGAATGAGTCTATGCTGTTTATCACTCACTCACCGAATATGGCCAGTATTTAACTCACACCTTGCCTGTCAAATCTGCTCCTCTACCATACTCTTCCATTTCTATTACTAGATCACTAACTTTGTGGCTACCCAAGTTTAAAACTCCTCAGTTCATCTGCACTCTTTCTTGCCTTAGTCCAACCAATCCCAAGTCCTGTAGATTCTATGTATATAGTCATTCTTATAATCTACCCCTTATTTCCTTTCTAGTCCTCTGCCTTCACCTGCACGATTTCGACAGTCTTCTCATCTACGTTCCTGACTCCCCCTCTGTCCAGGAACTTGCCATTCTACAGTAGAGCTCTCATCATACCACTGGAAAACAAACACATAACACACTTCCTACTGGAAAACAAACAAATAACGCACTTTCCATCGCCCACATCAAACAGAGCCTATGCTTTTGTATTTACTACTTAAAAACTCCCTATGAAATAAACTGACTTCTACTTCTAGGCATGTACTTTATGGACGTCGGGCCAAACACATATGCCATTACCATGTGCACTTGCCTCACACTTCCTGGCCTCCATACTTTGGTCACTTGGTGTCATCCACTTGAAGTGTGCTTTTTTTCCTAACTGTACTTGCCTCCGACATTCAAAACTGTCACACAATGCTTTGTACAGAACAAGCACTCAAAAATATTCACTGACCAATTTCAAAACTTACCTTTGAAATAAGCTGTTTGAACTCTGTGACCGTTTGATTTAAGTAAGCGCGAACAGTGACAGGAGCAGCTACAGATTCTGCCTTAAGATCAACAACATGAACTTTCACCATCACTTCTGAAAAACAAAAAATATTTGAAAAACACAAAAACATAAGTGGATGTTATTTTAAAAAGCATATTTCACATGAGCACTGCATTCTTTTTTTTTTTTTTTTTTTAATGTTTTATTTATTTCTAGGAGAGAGAGAGAGAGACAGCANACTCTGAAACAGGCTCCAGGCTCTGAGCTGGCAGTCAGCACAGAGCCCGACGCGGGGCTCGAACCCACGAACCGCGAGATCATGACCTAAGCGAAAGTCGGACGCTTAACCGACTAAGCCACCCAGGCGCCCCTTGAGCACTGCATTCTTAACATGTTGTCAATATATGGCAAGGTAACAGTTTTCTATTAAGACAGTAGACATAACAATGTTATATATGTATATAATACATGATAAACTTCTTCACAATTTATCATATTACAAACATCGACAAAGAAATGGAAATGAGCCTAATAAAAAAGTTCTCCTAGGTCTCTTTAAAAACAATGACAACATTCAAAATGTGATTTTTGAAAAATTCATGGTTTGTTTCCTTCTAAAACATAACACACTGTCAAATTTATCAAGCACATTAAGAAAGCTCCTGGGTGGCTCAGTCAGTTAAAGCTTCTGACTCTTGATCTCAGCTCAGGTCATGATCTCAGTTAGTGAGTTCAAACCCTGTACTGTGCTCTGCACTGATGGCACAGAGCCTGCCTGGGATTCTGATTCTCATTCTCTGCCCCTCCCCTGCTTGTGTACTCATTCTCTCTCTCTCACTCAAAATAAATAAATGAACTTAAAAAAAAAAAAAAACATATATAAAGTTGCAAAATACAGACCCAAACCACAATATTAAATTACTAGAGAATGCAAAACAAATTCTAAAGGGGACCTCGGCAGGCCTACTTGCTTTTGATCAACTTGTATTATACCACTCAAGATCTTGTGCATAATCAAAGACCTCTTTTGCTCCAAATAATATTCTCTACATTCTACAGAAAATTTGACAAAAAAATGCTTTGGTTTACAAGGTGGTTGTTGTTTTTTTTTTTCACTTAAATTCTTCATATTACAATTTAATACTATCTTCTCCTCTTCTGCTTTCAGATTATATATATCTAAACTTTTAGTCACCAGAAAAGCAAATAATCTTCAAACAGTTATTTTCTGGCTTAAATGCTTTACTTTCCTTTATGAAGTATACATAAATCATCAGTTTTTTCCCTAAGTTCCTAATCTAAATGCTGAAGTCATTATTAATGAATAAAGAGAATGTTAGCTGCAAGTTTTACAACCCACACTCACATTTAGAGTTCTCTCTTTTCACGTTTACTTTTGAGAGAGAGACAGAGTAAGAGCAGGGGATAAGCAGAGAGAGGGGGGGAGACACAGAAACTGAAGCAGGCTCCAGACTCCGAGCTGACAGCACAGAGTCTGAGATGGGGCTTGAACCCATGAACTGCAAGATCATGACCTGAGCTAAAGTCAGATGCTTACCCAACTGAGTCACCCAGGTGCCCCTAAAGTTCTCTTTTTAAAAAGTGGTTTTATTGCTGACTCGTGTTATACTTTAATCATAATTTTTGCTATTTAGCCCAAAAATAATCTGCAAGAAAATGCTTCATAAGAATTCTTTACAAGCAGAACAAAGCCTGACTGATGGAGCCCTTAAAAGAGTATCTTACTTAATCTACTTTGGAAAGAGGAGCCTTGGTTAAAGAAGGAAAAAAAAGAGAGGTTTATAGGATCTGCAGAGGAATAGAATATGAAAGAACAGAGGAAGGTTTCTTATTTTCGGTTTTTAGGTTTTTTTGAGAGAGAAAAAGAAGAGCATGGATGCACACGCATGAGCAGGGGAGGGGCAGAGAGAGGGAAAGAGAATGCTAAGCAGGCTTGCCATCAGCATGGAGCCTGATGAAGGGCTCAAACTTATGAACCATGAGATCATGACCTGAGCTGAAATCAAAAGTAGGACGCTTAACCGACTGAGCCACCCAGGCAGGCGCCCCTAGAAGAAGGTTTTGTGAGTTCAATTTTTAGAAAAAAAAAAGTAAAGAACCTAAGTCTGAATTTTAACAACTGATAGAAGGAATTTAGGGTCATGACAATAGTAAAATTCTCTAAAATTATTTAAACATTTTTATTTTCCTCTGTTTATTACAGTTCACATAGAGTGATTACCAGAAAACTTTGGACATGTAACTGTCTTTAGGGACTACTCTGGTTAAAGCTGGGAATGTAGTGTTTTGCTTTCCAGATAAGTCTCAAACAAACAAAAAACTTCAAGACACTGAGGAATGTGATAGATTTAACAAAGACAAAAAAAAGTTGAAGTTCCTGGGACCTGCAAAATGGAGAAGATGGAGAAAAATAAAAAGTGTTGGCAGCAATGTGTTATGAAAGCACCTCTTCAAGGAAACCCTGAAAAATCAGACTCTACTTCTGAGAGTTGATGAGAATAAACTTCTTTTGGACTTGGGTCTTCTCTATAAATACAGAGGGGGAAGAGGAGAGAGAAAGGAGGATGATTCAGCACTGAAAACTCCCACTGAAGGCTACAAGCTAATGTTTTTAAATTTTGTGTATACCTCTTTGAAAGTAATCTAGAACTTAATTCTAAGCTTGTTGCTACTTACTAACCTATCAGAATTATTCCACACTTTAAGAACATAAAAAAAAAATAAATAAAATTAAACTCATTTATATTTTTTTTTAATTTTTTAAACATTTATTTATTTTTGAGAGACAGAGAGACAGAGAATGAACAGGGGAGAGGCAGAGAGAGAGGGAGACAGAATATGAAATAGGCTCCATGCTCTGAGCTATCAGTACTGAGACCGATGTGGGGCTCAAACGCACAAACTCCGAAAACATGACATGAGTCGAAGTCGGACACTTAACCAACTGAGCCACCCAGGCGCCTCGGCTCATCTCTATTTAAAAACCTTCTTGTGAAAATGTTAAGTCCGGTATAGCCGTAGAATTCTTTACCTCCAGGTTTATAAGACTGAAAAACTTGGTCAGGCTTTCTCGTCTCCAACAGGAGATCGAACATGTACGTTGACTTGACCCCTCCTAGCAGAAGTCCCATTGGGGTGTCTTCCTCTCCTTCATACGATCGTTCCAGGTAATCGTGAAACTCATCATATTTTACAAGGCGACAGCAATCCATGGGTAGGACCTCTTCTAAGTCCATCATCTAAAAGAAAGAAAGGCCCAAGAAAAAAATAAATACACACATAGTTAAGTCTGATGTGTTACTGCACCACCAATAGGCTTAACAAATAATACAATTCATATATTTATGATATGCATCAAAGCTCAAAGACATCTAAGTTAAAGGCATTACTTCAATGCTATTTTTAATTACCATTATTTCATTATCCCCTAAATCATACCACTTATGTGCCAACAAATTTTAAAGACATTCCTGGTTTTAAAAGTTAACACTCTAAACTTTAGATGGACTCAAAATCAATGTATTATAAGCTCTTGCACTATAATCACTACACTGGAACCAAGAGGAGAACCAAGAGAATATGCAGCTTCTACTGCATTAATCCAATCTGAAGAAGAACTGGTGATGACACGTTTGGGTTTAAACAGCTTGCTAAGCACAGGGGAACAGCACGCCTTGCAGAGCCACCACAGAGGCCACAGCTTCCGTGTCTCCCATGAGCCATCTTGCAGCTCCCCTTCCATATGAGCCTCCAGAGATCTACAGCTCAGGGCACAGGATTTCTGTCATAAAATCTCCCTCTGGCCCATGTTACTGGTAGATGGCATACTCTGGATGCAACATCTCTTAAGCAAAAAATGAACCACCTGGAGACGGAAAGGATTACTTCAAAATATTTCGTACTTACTTTAAGGTTTGTGACCAGGACCTTCAACAAAAATAGTAAGCTTTGCTGTCCCCACCGACCTCTATTTACCCCCCACCCTCCCAAAAGATGGAGCTCTCTTTCTGGTACATAAGACTGGTTTATTTCTCTCTTTTGTCTGTTTGACTCTTTATATTTAAGAACTTTTACTTCCAATTTTTAAGACAACCTTCTTTTTGCCATCCTGCATTAAAAACTACTGGAATGTAAAATACTGTTACTGCTATTACAGATTGTAAAACTGTTTAGTTAAGATGTTTTCTCTATTTTAGTTTCATTTGGTTTCACTACTGTTTTGCAAAGATGGTACTTAAGAGTCCACCACTGTGTTTAAAGGATTTTTACTTTTAATGAGGTATATCCAGAGCTATCTATCCATTTTATTGTCTCTGTTCATTCATTTACTCATCCACATAACTCATCCAAATTTTGATTCTCCTGCACACCAGGGAAAATGTACTGGAAATGCAAATGTGAGCAAAACCAGAATACTGTAATGTAGCATGTATTTTTTTCTCTAACTAATGACTTTACTTTCAGTTCAATGATATTCATATTTATATGCAAAGGACAAAAAATATTTAATTTATCAAGTATTACAGACAACCATGTAGAATAATCTGGTTAAAGAATGGTTCCCTTTCTATCTGCTTTTTAAAACACACTAATAGCTTTCTATTATTCTCAGAATACATTGCAATCTACTATTTGTACAAAGTCTCTAATTTGATTTTTTGCTACTCTCTTCTCATTCAAGACAATCTAAATACAATGTCCCTTTTCTCAGTTTTTTGATCACGCCAGCCACAACCTCATCTCAGTTTTTATACATGTTGTTACCTCTACTAAAATATTCCCCCCAACTTTTTGTATAGCTGTCTGTTTCTCATGGTTAACATCTCAGGAGAAATAATCTCAATATATTACTGATTTACTTTACAGCATCTAAACAATAAAATATTTGCAACTTGTGAAAGGCTCTCCATACATATCTGTTAAATGAATGAAAAAGAATAAATATTTTTGTTTCTAATTCTAATTCTTGTTCTATAAAACTGAATTGGCTTTCAGGGTGAGAAATCTCTCCAACTCAACTGAGTATGTTCCAAAGATGTATAAGCCACACCCACTGAGAGAGAAATGATGTAAATAGACTATCAAATTTACTGCAAGTGCTTATATTACTATTGACCATAATAAAAACTTTTGGAAAATATATTAATACTGTTATCTAAGATATCAATAATTAAATGTCAACAGTGTAATTAAACATACCTTATAAGCCATTTCTACTGCTTCCTTTAATGTCTTATCCTTATGAACCTCCAATTTATTTTCCATCATTACTTGTTTCACAGGATGCAAACAGAATAATTTTATCTAGAAAATGTAAAACATTGACATCACCTCAGCAAGTCATGAATCAAAATGTAATTCTTTTGTAGATAGTATTTGTTTCCTAATAGTCAAAATATTATAATTTAAAATATATATAACTGAGACCATTCTCTCCCGTGTCTATTTTTCTCAACAATGCAAAGTGACTATGTTTCATCTTATAAGAATTCAAAAACATTAATTTTAACAACTGCATGTTTCTTTATAACCATGTATCATAATTTAAGTAATCATTCTCTTACTGACATATATTCAGGTTGTTTTAAGTTGTTCCCTAGTTTGGAAAATACTGTGATAAATGTTTTGGTGGTCAAAATTTTTATAGCATCTGTGATATCTCTTTAAGAGATATTTCCATAAGAGAATTATATAAAACAAGATGAATCTGCTTAAGGCTATTGATAAATTCTATTCAATTTCTATGTGATAAGGTTTTTACCACTTTATTATTTTTGTAGCAGAATGTGACAATGCTTATGTCACTGTAACCTTAACAGCACTGAGTATTATCACACATTAATGCTTATTAATGCATAAAAATGAGATCTTACTTCAATAATAAGAGTTTGTTGCACTGCTTAATGATCATCATAGTATAACTGTCTACAGAATCAGTCTAATGAATGTGTTATGAGAATTACAGTTAAGCAAACTTCAAAAGTACATTTTAATTAAAAGTAAACTTATGAAATCTAACCTTGCATGTATTGCGCTCAATTTCTCGTTGCCTTTTTTCTTGTTCTTCCAATTCTCTCTCCCTCTGCACCAAGTTTTTGATATGTTCTGGATATTCATCTACTTCTAGAAATTCTATTGTAATAAAAACAGGGTAAGACAGAGTCATTGGAAATTGAGCTTCCTTTACTTAATTTTGCTCTATTATGTTCCCACAGTATATTTCTGAGAGCTTTCTTCAAAACAGATCTCAGTTACATCAATCTCTCAACTTAGAACATCAGCTTCTTCCACACAAGAGTGAAGAGGTAATTGATAATGGCACATGGTTAGGTCTCATATATTTTAAAAAACCATACATTTCATCCATAGTATCTCTTGGCTCTCAGAAACTCTGGCATGCAGATTAAAACTTACAATGAAAAAGTCTCTCTGAAACTTTGAAATAAAATAACTTCTAATTTCATTATCACCATCAAATTGTGTGACCTTGGGCAAGTTTACTTCTCCAGGCCTTGGTTTCTTGAGCTTATTAATACATCTACCCCACAGAGTATTTACCTGGGATATAGTAAAATGTAATAAATGTTGCTGCTGCTGATATTACAAATGCTATTTGTTGTTATTATTCACTAGTACACTCATCTTTCCTTTGTTCTCAAAGCAATCTTTTAGCTATTTTCTATCCACAGATTTTTATATGTAACTCGAAGTATTAAAAGTGACAATATGAGAATATGACACTATTTAATAAATCCAATGATTATCAGACATTATAAATAGGGAGAACAATTTTTATATATGTATGTATATATAAAATAAAATCCCTGTGGAAGGTAAAAATCAACTATTTCTAGAAATGAACTCGCTACATTGTAAAAATATTCCATAGCATACATAAAGCGCCCTCTAGTGTTTCATCACAAAACTACATTTTTGTAGTAGATAAAGGAAACCTGAGTTATTGCCCTAATGGAAATATCTGGAATGTTGGGTGCCACAGAGGACACAAGAACTAAAATCCTGGCTCTGCCTCCAGGTAGCTATGATCTTGGACAAGTTAATCTTTGGGGTATCATTCCTTTATCTGTAAAGTTAGAATGATTACTCTCCTCTGAAATCTCTGTTCTAAAATGACTTCTTTTCATAATTTCCTCCCCCCCCCCATTAATTCTACAGTAAATTATTGAACAGCCATTATATGACAGACTCTAGACTCTGGATTATCATTAGTATAAAGACAAATTATGTCCTAAGCCTTGTACCAACTGAATTCACAATCTAATGAGGGTTACAAAAATGTAAACAAAAACATACACTACCCTAAAACAGATTTTACAGTACAGTAGTTTCTAAACAAATAAAAATCAAGGTCAAAGATGATAGTAATTATGAAAAGAAGGTGAGCCAACATATCACATATGTATATATCTACATGTACACACAAACACACCTAGTTATTCGCAATACTGCTTCAATCAGAGTCAGCATTAAGAAAAAAGGGGAACTGAAGTATTTTAAGGTAATAATAAAAAAGATAAAAGACAAACCCACATACTTTGTATACAGGATTATTTTGGGGACTCTCAATACAATTAAAATATAATAAAACTTTATTTGCTTTTTTTGCTTTATTTGCTTTTATTTATAAAATAAAATAAAACTTTATTTGATTTTTAAGAAAATAAGCGAAGATATTTAACTTTAGCTTTCAGGAACTTTCTAGAGTGGTAAGTCAGAAGTTGACTTTTTTAAGGCTCTCCATCCAAAGCATTTTGATAATAAAATACTCCAAAGGCTTATACCAAAAAAAAGCAATCATAGCTAAATTTGAGTTATTACTATGTACAAGACATGATGCTAAATGCTAAAAAAATGTTATCTTGTTTAATTTCTCATTACAATCCTATAAAATACTATGATCATCCCCAGTTTACAGGTGTGGAAAGTAAGATTTAGAAAAGTTAAATAACTTGCTCTAGGCCATCTAGATGGCGAGTCAGGACTGCTACACAAGTCTGAGGGTTATCATCACTGAGCACTATCTAATGCAAATAAATATTCCACTTTTTTAATGCAGAGTAAGTTTTATCTCTTAGTGTATTAAAAAACAGTTCAAGTTTTTCCAAGTGTTTTCACCAGTTGGTATTATCTCATAACAGTCTTTGCAATTAATTTTTCTAGGCATAATAAAACAATCATCGTATCCTTTAAAAGTAGTTATCTGGGTTTGCCAAACTTACAAAAGAAATTAGTACAGATTAAAATCCAATAACTACATGTTAACATACTTGCATTTCGTGCTGGATCCTTCAATCTATATATCAGCATATAAGCATTTGTGGAGCTAGTAGAAATATAAAAAAGATTAATGTCAACAAAAAGTAGATTGCAAAGATTCCATTTCCCAGTATCAAATAATCTGTTTTAATAGTTTTTCTTTGTTTCAAACAATTAGAAAACCATGTAAGTGTTCAAAGACAGGTTCAAACTTAAAACATTCTAGAAAAAAAAAAAAAGGAGAATCTACTTTGCTTTTCCTGACAGGCTTATAAGAAGATTCCACATCTCCTCTTGGTTACACAGTTAAGTCTTCAAAAAAATAAATAAATAAACAAAACCTGTGTCCTAGAGCCACTACTACAGTTAAGCCAGGATTCAGCATTTCTCGGCCATATTGAAGTTATTGAACTCTGTTATTAAGGGGATAAGATCAACACACAATACTTAATTAAACAAAGGAGTATAGTGACATCTCAATAAAAACTTTATTTCCAAAACCTAGAGGCAGGAAGGGTTTGGTCCATGGGTTATAGTTTGCTGACCCCTGGGTTAAATTTCTTTAATGGTAAAAAAAATGCTGAGAAGCTATAGTTAACTCTAATTTATAAACAGTACAAATCAGGAAGTATTTACCTTGCAAAAGCACTTGAGTAATATCCTCTGCTTCCTGAAGATCCACCATGAGTTTTCTTAATGTCCTCTTGGGTTATCTAAAAAGTTGTCACACTATTTACTTTTTTCTAAAATCTAGAACATCATTACCTTTATGTCAACAAGTAAGCCAATTTTAATCTCAGAGTTAAAATGGACCATACAATGGCCAATTCACAAAATTTGATCAGAATGATTGGCTCCTACCAGCCAGTTAGTTCTAGTGCTCAACAGGTAGCCCATATGAAGGCTCAAGACAAAAAAAAAAAAAAAAAGGGAGTCTGTCTCTGGAAACACTTAGCAAGCCCCAAACAAAACAAATAAACTCTACTGTTGATTAGAAACAGCTCTACTCTTGTCTTTAAGAATAATCTTGAACACACCCTCCTTGGGGTGCTTGAGTGGCTCAGGCGGTTAAGCATCTGACTCTTGATTTTAGCTCAGGTCATGATCTCACGGTTCGTGAGATTGTGCCCCATGTTAGGCTCTGCACTGACAGTGCTTGGGATTCTCTCTCTTCCTCTCTCTGCTCCTCTGGCTTACATGTGCACACATGCACTCTTTCTCCCTTAAAATAAATAAATGAAAGAAAAAAAAAACGTCCTTACCCTGCTGACATGCTGATCATTGAAGCTGTACCACTGTTCATCACTGAATGACTTTATACAAGCATAATAATGACCACCAGCAGCACTTCCTGAATGAACCATAACGGAGAAGAGCTCATAGATCAAGGAATTCTAAGGGGAAAAAATAAAAGTACCTCAGAGAAGAGAAAGAATTTCCCTTCTTTGTGTATTTCTCATTCCCTATTAATACAGAGTAAAATATTAGAGTTGTCCTAGATATTTACTGTAGGCACACTTTCCTCTAAGATAACTAAAATGGCAAGTCATCACATAATTTTATATATCAGAGTTTCATTCAGTGTATTCCTTCACATTTTAATTATGTTATAATCTCTGTAACTATGCATATCTGAAATATAATGTTATTTTTGTAAAAATAAAACAATAATCTGAAATTTCAGAAGCAGTTCTAATTACAAGACTATTCTGGTATGCACAGTCAAGATCAAGAAATCCCAAATAATGTTTTTATTCAATAAGATTATTCTATTTCCTTTGCAAAAAGAGCTGAGCATTAAAATGAATTAGAACATTTTCTAATGTATTTATGTAATATCTGTGATACAGTGATCTACTGATTTGACATCCTCAAGTATGCAAAGATGGTTCAATGTCAGAAGATCAATCTATATAATACAGGCTAAATTAGAAACATTACATGATCCTATCAACTGACTCAGAAAAAGCATTTCCTGAAATCCAAAACTCATTCATGACAAAAATGCTTAAGAAATTAGGATGAGGGAAACCTCATTAGCTTAATAAAGCACACCTACAAAAAACCTAGAACCAACATCATACTTAATGATGAGAAACTGAACACTTTCCTCCTGAGATTAAGGCAAGAACGCCCTATCTCACCACTCCTATTCAACACTGTAAGAAATCCTACTTACAGCAGTAAGACAAGGGGGAAAAATAAAGACAGATGTAACTGGTTATGTAGAAAAACAGGCAGAGAATTAGATTTGGCCTTTGAGCCACAGTTGCCAACCCTTGCTTGAATGCAATGTTCTTTACACTAAGTTATAATGTATCCACTACATTATTCATCACATAGAAATTCATGTACATCTATCTGCCCTGAAACAGATAATTTTAAAAGGCAAATGATGATGGTGGTTGCAATAATGCAAGAGAAATTCCATTCTTAAATACTGCCTTAATAACTCTGTATTTAATATGACTTGGAAGAGTTGAAATACTGATCAGTCTTCAGGCTATTCATTCACAATTTATACATGCTCAAGACAACTGACCTATAATTCTCTCCTCAATAAAGCAGATTATATGAATATGAAAGAAATGGTTTGATAACATCTTAAAAATCATTGATACCATGACATAAAAGATTCTATAACAGAGATTATCAAATACAGTAGTTGTCAAATTATAATCCATATATAAAACTATACATATATAAACACATATATCTCCATATATTAAAAAACTATATCATTTTTTTAAAAGTGCCTTAAGGGCTATGATGGGGAGGCGAGAGAGGCTGAAGGCTTTGGTTTTCCCCTACCTCAGAAAGATCAGTTCTATTATTAACTATTTCGTAAGGAGTTTCAGAGTCAGAATTTTAAAATGAATGGATGTAGTCAAATACTTTCATTCTGCTATATGAGAAAACACTTATATAAAGATTTAGAGGCTTGGTATAACTTTTAAGGCAGAAATGGTTTCCTTTTCCATACCACCACCTAGCTTACTTACGTAGCTACAGATCAGCCCCCCAAAATTCATACTTTTGCCTCTAAGTTTTTTCCTAAAGTTTAATTATGATCACATACATACATTAAAAAAAATAAAAGCTTTAAAAAAGTCTTACTTTTCAAAAATTACTTCTCCTAAGGAGAATTTATTTGTCATAACCGCTACAGAATTATATAGCAGCTCAGAAATCATTTTACTTTCTCTTTCAACTAAAACTCACAAACTATAAAAGGTACCTTTTCAAGTCCAGGTTTTGAAATCTTTTCAGTTCCACTATTACTTTCAAGGCAGATCCCTTCATCAACACCATCATCATTCGAAAAATCATTGCTCATCTGATCGCTGTGACAACTGCCTTCATTTTCTGCCCCGCTGTCAGTGCAACTTTCGGTCTGAGGGGATTTCTTAATAAAACATAATTATCTTACAATTACAAGTTAAATAAAGGAAAAACATATACTCAGTTAAGCCTTTTATCTACTTGCTGCTAACTTTTTCACATAACTTCAGATATTATTAATCAAAATATTTATTTTAAGTAAATTTATCTTATCTTAGAGAGTCCTTAAATAGAATTAAACAAAAAAAAGTGTATTTTAGAGCCAAATGTCCATCGACTGATGAATTGATAAAGGAGATTTATAAATATATACATATATATCATGACATATACGTATGATATATATGTGAAGATGTGATACACATACACACACAATGGACTATTACTCAGCTATCAAAAAGAATGACATCTAGGAGTCCCTAGGTGACTCCTAGTTGGTTAAGTGTCTGAGTGTTGATGTGAGGAAGGTGGTTGGGAAATGGGCTGAATGGTGATGGGTATTAAGGACGGCACTTGTTATGATGAGCACTGGGAATTATGTGTATTAGTGATGAATTGCTAACTTTTAAGAAAAGCATATTTTAAAAACATTTCTATTAATGTCCTTAAAATTCAAATACAATGAATCAGTGATTCAGAATTCTAATTAAATCCCATTTATGCTTATAGTTGCAAAGTAACAATGTAAATTACCATTTCTTTCACTAAACTCTGTAAAAGCTGTGAACCTAAATGCCAAAATGAGCCTTTGTTCTCAAATCCCAAAACAATATCACCTCTTTTCTTGGACAAAAAGTTAAGTTTTATTTATCCCTGGGCTAGGTATTAGACACCATTAAAAAGAAAAACAACATTGAATCTATCCTCAAGAACTTTACATTCTAGCATACAGGAGGTAGAAATATAACAACAAAAAAAATCACACTTTTTCATGCTTTTATGATTTTTAAATCCCTTTCATGCAAACTTACTTTGAAGGAATCTACTTCCTAGAAATCCCCAAACAACTCCTTGCCCCCTTTTCCTTAGATATTTTATATGCATATCTAAAAATGTTTCTGTTTAAATAGTTTGAGAATTCTTCTGTGAGATGTAGGCTCTAGATATGTTATATAGGAGTTCTGAAATTAACCAAGCAATACATAATAATAAGCACCAACTTTTTGCCAAGAACTTTGTTGTGGGGACTGCATCTAACATACAGTCTTCACCCCTTGAGACAGTAAAGTTTAAATAAAAACCAACTCTAGAACTCTACACGGAGTCCAGAGATCATTCCTGATGTTCCTTTAGGCCAGAACATCTCTTCTCCCAAGATATGGACCTAGAACATACTAAAAGTTCCTGTCAAACTAGATTTAGGTTTTCTTTAGTTGTAGAAGATTTCCTTTTACAAGAATATATTAGGTCTATACAGAAAACTGAGCCAATACTAATCTCTGTGTAGGACTCCTGTAAAGACTTTGTCTATTTTGAAACTTTGGTATACCTGGAATAGATTTCCTAGCTTGAGCATAAGTGTTTGAAATACCATTTTAAACTAAACCTTTCAAAATGTTACCTGGTCATAGGTATCATTCAATGAACATCTACTTTATCTAAAGCAGTCTTTTTATGAAAGCTATAAAGAGTAAATATTGCCCTTATTTTACAGACAAAGAAAGTGAGGCTCAGAAAAGCTGCTCTTCTATACCACATCATCTCTTAATACTTAAGAGCATTAACTAAAACTTCATGAATGTTTAAAATCACTTTTGTGCTTTTGGGATATCGTATTTTTATAACTAGAGTGATAAGTTCCAATCAGAAAAAAATGATTCATGGTAGTTTTGAAATAAATATTTATCACTAAGGATTATGTCAAATGACTATAAATATTTCCCATAATGAAATCAGAAGTTTTCAAAAGAATAGAGTGGGATATTAAGAATCTTTTACTGAATAAGGTTAGGGGAATCATAGAATTTAGAGGGAGTCAATGAGTAGAAGAATTGATAAGCTTTACCTGTGTCCTTCAAAGTTCTATTCTTCAAACTATTTAAATAAAGTTCTGACTACAAAAAAAAAACCTAATTAAAAAAGGAAAACAGACAAAATACCCTTATTTTCTAGCTTTCTAACCTAGTCTATTTCAGAGGTGGCAAACTTTAACTGAGAATAACCCAGAAACCTTAATCCTTGAAAAAGACACTAAAACAAATATAAGTAATAAAGGACATACTGCCCAATTTGCTCATTTTACTTACATAATTGCTGTGTTTATTATGTACCAGAAACATAGGGCAGCCCATCTCTAGATAAGTGTCTTTTGCTAAGAAAGTTATAAAACATAAGATCATCGCTCAAATTAAAGACAGAGTTCCAGAGTTTGGAATCTTTTTGTCTTTTCAAAGAATATCATAAGTTATTCTGATCAAACAAGATTATGTGACATATAATTTATGGTAAACAAAAAAAGTATACAAATCTAGATCTTTTTATATAACTTGCCATTACAAAATATGGAAAGAAATGAAAACCTTCTACCAAGACAAGCCTAAACAACACCAGTGTTGCTACCTCAAATAGCTCCTTTAATCAAACACATGACCAACTAAAATGGATTACTATTTTTTTAACAAATAAATGTAATAAATATTTTACCTCATCTTCAACATCAATAAATGTACTCATATCTAGCTCCTCAGGAAATGTCATCCGATCATTCAATTTAATCCTGTGCATGGTTGTATAATCAAAATCAAACCTTTTCAACTGTAAGGTCAGCAGATAAGGGAAATGCAAAAACCGAAGACCCTAAAAAAAAAAAAAAAAAGGGACCTATTGAATATTGAATATAATCTCAGATAATTTAGTATTAATTTCTACATGGCATCTACCTTTCGGGCATCACACTTCTTCTTACAACGTTCACAAAAATATTGATTTGGGCCATCCAGGATCTCTGGCTGAATAAATGCATGCAATGCTTCTTCCTAATAAGAAGGAAAAAACTGTTTTATAATTACTTAAAAATATTATAATGTTAATGATAAAGCCCTGAACATAAAAACTTGGCAATTACCAAAACACTTAGAAGTAGGATGGCTAGAAAACTAGGAACTCAAAATGCAAAAAGGGAAAAAAAATGATCAACAGCAATATAATACTATAAAAACTCAGTGACAAAACAATTGCTTTCATTCTGCATGAAATCTGTCTTTCCTAGTACTGTACATTGCAGTTAGTCATTTCTACCTATTTTTGCTGGCTTTACATTGTGGAATGTGGCTAAACAATCTAATAAAATCCTGTGTGTAGATTAAAAACTCGAAAAGAACGATAGTTACATACATCACTGCAATCTTCCTGTAAAAGGAGACATTCAAAACTGTACAGTAAACAGAGAACTCTGAAGAATTCACACTATCCCTACATTTAAAAAAAAAACCCTAATACCATCATTTATCACTACATTTAGCATCATTCAGTAATTCACCACTGCACTAACGATTGAAAATCACCAGACAACTTTCCCTGCATGTCAGATACTGCTCCACCAGAAAATTATGAGAGCTCCTGGATTCTCGTGATTCTCTTCTCTCCATACAGCCTTAAGACAGAAGAAGAAACTTAATATAAATATTGGTGAAGAATCAGTGGGCATAAGATTTTTAATTTTTAATCACTGATTTTTCACAATAAAAAATAAATTTTAGTTAATACAACATTTATCATTGGACTGCATCATCTCAAATTTCATTTGTTGTGATCTCTTCACACATGGTCTGATCAGAACTGCTAACTATATTTGCCTCATATAAAGAAACTGTATCATTAGGACAAAATATCTTCAAATATTTTTCTTTTGATTCAGAACATGTTATTCCTCAAATGATAAATAAAGGAGCTTGAACTGGCAAAATGTGAAAGAGCTGGCAATACTTATAGAACTACTATCCACATATTGTTTGGTAGAACTCATTTTGGAATAAGATCAAAAATATGAAAAGATACTCAAAATGCCTTTAACCTCATCCATCTCCTATTCTGTTCTCAGAACACAAGGAAGTGACAGGGTGGGGAAAGGGGGGAGGAGAACCAAATAGTGGATGTTTTTCCACATGAACAAGCATTTCACAGAAAAGGACACCGTCAGAATGATTTTTTTTCTTTCAAACACATTTTAAGCATGAAAAAGGCAAATCCTGCAAAAATGTATAACACAAAAAGCTTTAAGAGAAATCATATATATATATACCTTAGCACGGACTGATATCAAAGTAGTCAAGTGTTCCAAATTGAAAGTGAAATGTAAAACACTCAATACCTTAACCAAAAAGGTGGGGGGAGAAAATTATGTAACTCAAGTTCTACTTCACTAAACTGTGTGGACTGGTCTCTGGTTACAGTTCATAGGTAGAGCTATCTGCTTCTGGTTTTTGTTTGTTGTTGTTTGCTTGCTTTTGAAGTTAAAACTCAGAAAATTTAACGAACAGAAAACTTCTATAATTTTATTCAGATTCACCAACTTTTAATATTCTGCTACCCTTGCTTTGTCATTCTCTCACCTCTACACACATTATGTATTTGTCTGAAGCATTTGAGAGAGCAGCTTTACATATCATGATTTTCCTCTTAATGATCCTATATGACTTTTTTTTTTTTTTTAATGTTTTATTTATTTCTAGGAGAGAGAGCGTGAGCAGGGGAGGGTCAGAGAGAGAGAGGGAGTCACAGACTGAAACAGGCTCCAGGCTCTGAGCTGGCTGTCAGCACAGAGCCCGACGCGGGGCTCGAACCCACGAACCGCGAGATCACGACCTAAGCGAAAGTCGGACGCTCAACCGACTAAGCCACCCAGGCGCCCCGATCCTATATGACTTTTTAAGAGCGAGGAACTCTTATGTAAACGACAGAGTTAGCAAAAGCAGGAAAATTTAAGACTGATAAAGTACTTTTGCCATATTCCCATCCTGTTAATTGTCTAAACCCTAATAATGCATTTCTCCCTATCCAGTACAGAATTGAGCCCGGGATTGCAGATTAACATTTCGCTGTCTATTCAGATTCATTTTGTCTGGAACAGTTCCAAAGCCTTTCTTTCATGACATAAAAATGGTTTCTGAAGGAGGTGGCTGGCTATTTTATAAAATGTCTGCAATTATATTCAGGTTATGTATGCCTTACTAGACTACCACTTAAGTTAGGATGTGTCCTTCTTAGGGTATCGTGATCACATGCCATGATGGTCCCAACCTCCCTACTGGTTATATGAACTTTAATCACCGGGTCAAAGTGTTATCCAGCTTTTCTACTACATAGTTACTGTTTTATCCCCTTGCAGCTAATATGTAATCTGGAAGGAGATACTTGGAGACCATGCAAATATCCTGAGTCTTAAACTTTCCACCCTAAATTTAGCATCCACTAACGGATTCTTGCTTAAACCAAATTTTAATATGTTTTATGAGCCAACTTAAAACCTTTTTAATAGGAAACTTAAGCCCATTCATATTTGATATGTTTTGTTTCATCTAGTTTATAACTACTGTGTATTAAGTTAAATTTACTGTGTTCTTTTCTCCATGTGGTATATTCTGCTACTTTTTACATTTTCTTTTGGTACTTAGGAAGGTAAGTTTGTTGTAGTGCATGTATACTTGTATTTGTGCCCTTAATCCCCAGTTTTCCCCTTTTCCTTACTTAAGCTTTTAGGGTCTGGCGTGCTGGTTTTAAATGTTACCCTTTGTCTCCTACCCATTCAACAGTCTATGATCTGTTTTAAATAGAAAACATTCTATTTTACCATTTCCCCTTTTATGACTGGTATTTTTATTTTGTCTTACATATAATATGCTATATTTCTATTTATGTTCTCGCCCTTGTTTCATTTAGTCCTTACTTCTAATATATTAAAGCCTCACAGTCCTTTTGCTGAAGCTTCCCTGGAAATGCCAGTTCAATTTATCTTTAAGGTTTAACAGCTTACTAAAATATGGTCTGAGCTGATTATTCCTGATTAATTTTCCCAAGTACATAGTAGGTCTTTCAAAAGGTACTTACATTTCCCTTATTCCCAGAAAGTTTTCTTGGCTAAATCTCTTAAGTTTTGTTCCACTGTGGTGTTTTACTTCTTCAGAGACTCCCAGTTACACCGGACATTCTCTGAGAGGCTTTCCTTCCAGTCATTTTCTGAGATCCTTTTTTCCCTAATTTTCATTCTATGTCCTTCTTTAGAGTCTCATTCCATTCTATTCTCTCTGAGTATTTTATAATTTATTCATTTCTAATAGTTTTCTTTTTCTTTTATTTCTTTCCTGAGTTTGATCAATGCATATTGCATTTCCTGTTGTTTCTTAATTCTTTTTTCTCCTTAAATGTTTGGATACCAGGCTTTGTTTCGCTTGAGAATATTTAATTTAGTCTGGAATACTATATTACAGTACTCGGTGGTTATTTTCCTAAGGACTTTTTTTGGCAGAGTGGATTTTCATCAGCTGAAATGCTTTTATGCCTACTTTCTGTTTTCTTCTAACAGTGGTGCTATGTAAATTTGATTTCCAGCCCCCACCCACCCAGTCATTTTGTGGACAGTATTCTTTAGTTTGACAGTACCTCAAACTTTTGTCAACTTAGTGAAATGTAGTGGTAACAGGGGTGGAGAGCTTGAGGTCTTCTTTCATTCTACAGGACACTTAATTTTTCACTTTCTTCTTGTTTTCTCTTCACCGCTATGTCTCAGAGGCACCGTGCTTCTTTATCTTCTGTCCCAGAGACCAAAATTCTTCCAAGGATGCCACTTCTCCCTCGAGAACTCCTTCACTGTGGCTTGTGCTATAAACTCTTTTGGCATGTCCTATTGTACTTTTTCCTTGTGAGAGTGATTTTTGTCTTTGTTTTGTGTAAAGTCCTTCAATGCTTTCTCTGTCTCACAGTCTCGAAGGCTTTCCACTCTATCTTTTTCACATATATAGACCTGTAGCAGCAGTGGAAGCTCTGTTGGAACTTGATTATTTTGCTACTTACAGGTATGGCAATCTGTCCCCATAACACAGAAGTTATAGGTTACCTATGTTTCATTTGTGTTCCTTTCTGTCTAGATTTTTTGGGAGAATGTGTAGATTTATACAGATCATATGGTCACCTTTATCCTCCAGTCACAGAAACCAGTTCAAGCTATATTATAATAATTTTTCTATAGCTTCCTTATTCACTTTTAACTTTTTTTTAATGTTTATTTATTAATGAGACAGAGAGAAACAGAACATGAGTGGAGGAGGGGCAGAGAGAGAGGGAGCCACAGAATCTGAAGCAGGCTCCAGGCTCTGAGCTGTCAGCACAGAGCCCGATGCCAGGCTCAAACCCACAAATAGTGAGATCATGACCTGAGCTGAAGTCAGACGCTTAACTGACTGAGCCACCCAGGGGCCCCACCTTATTCACTTTTTAACAAGTTGGCTCCAGGATAATTATAAATAAGATTAGTCAGTTATAAAAATTAGTTTCATCTATCCCTTCAACAAATAAATTATGTAAATTTGGTCATATACATTTATCTTCATTTAATGTGATCCATGAGATAACTAAAAATCACACTAAACCATATCTTACATATTAAAAAGATAAGCTATGAATCATAAAAATGGAATAAAATACTATACTGTACCATTATTAATATACATGAAAAATTTTCCTCTGCTTATCATCAGCTATCCTCTTGAGTATGTTAAATTACTCACATATCACACTTCTAAACTAGCTTTGGGTTGACCGTGATTGTTTATCATCATTCCAGAGTAAAGATAATAGTTTTTTCTAGTTTACTCCTATCATACAAAATGTAATTTACACAATTTACAGATTGTAATTTTCAGAGTTCAGAATAGAACATAGAGAATTCTTACATCATTAAATAGTTCTTAACCTAAAAAATACTGGTTACTACAATTTTATATTTAATGCAGAAAATCTAGGCACAATGCAATTATAATGT